TTAATTTATTTCTGGCAGCTAAATCATTGGAATGTTGCCTTGTGTTCTATTATGTTTGAAATTGTAATAAATGCCTTTTACAATATGCTGGACAAAATGCTCATTGCGAAATTACGTTTTGTTGACAAAGATTATGTAATTGTACTTTACAATGGTGTGAAAGACGAGGTCTCATTTGATGTTTATATTTTGAAAATTAGTCATACAAATATTTCAATCTTATATTGTCTACAATTATCTTAATACCTTTCAAAATTTGGATGTAAAATCTCAATGCTGTCAGTGCAAGTTCGTGCAAAATGAACCATCACTGATTTTTTTTTGGCCTAGAAACGTTCAAATTCCTCAAATATTTTATTTGCCAGCTGCCAGCAAGAGTGTTTTGGGTTATTTTAAAAAATGTATCAAATAGAGTTAAGTTGGTTTTATCAAGTTTAATTCATATCTATTTTGATATCATTAGTAAATAAAAATGACCTTAGACTGATGTACACTAGCGAGACTTCTAATGTCAAGAATCATCTTTGCCATTTTTCAAATTAAAATGTGTTTAACTTACAAATAATTGTCATCAGTTTCTTCTTTTTTACTTATGAGACCAAGCCATGTCCAGAAATGGTAACTATTCCGTTGACAATTTTACTTTCCATTATTTTTAGAAGCTTTTCTAACTTCTAATTACAAAATGAATTAGGCTGACTAGTGATTTTCATGACTGATCTTTTGCCGAGACCATTAAAATGATGAAAAATGTAAAATGCCCAGAATTCACCAATTGACTTTTATCACAAAATTGTAAGAGAGAATAAATTAACAGACAACGTTAAAAAGACGACTTCATTACATGACAAGACAAACTCTTGGGAATGCTCTGTGGTTGTGCCATTAAAGCAGGTAGTATAATAAAGAGAGTATATCAAAACAAACTGTGGTAAAGGAATCAATTAGTGCAGTCTAAACCTAACATACAATTTCCATACGAAACCATCAAACACAACATACATTGGCTTTTCTTGAGGGTATTAAAATGCATCTTATATCCAATCTTAAACTTTATAGATTGCATCCCAGGGAATCTAAATAGCTCAGTTACCTTTGTAATGCATTTTCTGATCATAAAAATTGTATTGGAAACAAAAACTGACATTAAAATCTATATAAAGCTTTCTATTCTCACTTTCACCATACTACCGTATAACTATTTGGCGATAGAGGCTTTCTTTCAAATGACGGCTAAAATGTGTAGAGTGACATGCGCGAGCACAAAAACTTTTAGGGTTCCTACACGAGTGAGACTTCTTATTATCTATTCCTATATAGTGCATTGAAAGAATGCATTTATCGGCCAGAAAGAAAGTTCATAAAATGCCTATCCTTTTGATGTTTTCTTAATAAAATTTGGATGCATATTGAGGATAATACATCGAAATAAATAATTAAAAAATTGAAAGGGACGCGCTTTTTTAAATATTATGTGTATACTATAAAAAAAGCAAAATAGTTCTTGTGAAAGGCTATTAAACTTTATAAAATTTTTCAGATAAAAGGTAATTTTTTCAAGCCATAATTAGTAGTAAGTTAATCTTTGCATGCTGCGTATATCGAAATGACACCAAGAAATCATCCAGTACGACTAGGAGTACGAATTACGACATTTTGGCGCTAAAATATTTTGGCGACAACAACAACACGTAGCCGTCGTCAATCAGTGTACGATGTTTGTAAAAATTTGTAGTCGCGACTACGACGCCTTTTAAGGAACGAAAGTACGTATATTTTTTCATTGTGTAAGAATTTAGTTTACAGTACTATTCTTGAACATCCAAGCTTTACTTTAGAACCTTTTTTTTAGCACAGATGTACATTTAAAAAATATGACCTGCAAAACTTCCATGTATGTCGTACGCAAAGTGAAAGGTAAATAAACCACAAAATAGTACAAATACATCGCACAAAAAATTTAAAATAGTGAAGATTTTTTCAGTTTAAATAGTCCTAGCTATAATCTCACAAAATCAGAATTGCCGATTGGTTGATATAATTATTGAAAAATTCAGCCGTAGCTGCTTCGCATACTTCCGTGTTTTTTACAACAAAAAGTTCGTTCTGTTGTTTACAGCTAAAAAAAAGTTTAAGGAAGTGACAACTACAACAAACTTCCTCGTGCTATTCCCTAACACGGTCAAACTTTGTACTCGTTGTTGTAGTCATACTCATTAGGGAGCTTTAGCAAAGACTACGAGTAAGACTACGAGTACCATTTACGTCATTTTAGCGCTAAAACATTGTTGCGACAACAAAAACAATTAGCCGTCATCAAACAGAGTACGATGTTTGGTAAAAAAATTGTAATTGCGACTACGATATCTTTTTAAGCAAAGAATGTAGGTCTATTTCTTCATTCTGTAAGAAATTAGTTTACAGTACTATTTTCGAGCATCCAGGCTATAATATAGAACCTTTTTTGAGCGCTTGATGTACATAAAAAAGGAAAATATGACCTGCAAAACTTTCATGTATGTCGTACGCAAAGTGAAAGGGGAAAATGGCCTCCACGCTGTGATCAACGCGCGATACAGCTTGGTTGACACACATTTATAATAGATCAATCTTATTTTAAAAACTTAATTTTCAGGGGCCGGTTGCACAAGCTATCTGTTGGATAACTTATTATTCAAGGAATAGCCTTGTCCATTGGATAGTAACTTTTTTAAGCTTTTAAAAAGCCTTTAAAAAAGCAAAAAGTATAAGATTCCAACTGAACAATTACTGAAATCAAATATTGTTTCGAAGATTACGAAATTACTTTGTCGAAAGAAAAATATAAGCACCTCTTTTACAAGTTTGAATATTTTTCCTATCCGATAGATAACCCTATCCAGGCTTCGTGCAACCAAGCCCACTAAGTTATGTTTAAACTGGTTTATACCGCTATCAAAATTGCTGTAACTGTGTTCAAGCAGCGAAACAGAAGGGGGCGCTCTATGTTAAGAAAGAAGCTGTTATTCAAAGTTGTTAAGGCAAGACTTGCACTATATCTTCACTTTAATATGAGTATTACCATGTATACTACAAAATTTTTGTTTCTCACATAACAAAGAAAAACTTCTGCACCCAAATGAAAGCATAGGCTATTATTGTTTAGTCTCAAGCTAATTTTCTTAATTTTGCGCTATGTCTTTTAATAGTAGAACGGCACTTTCCTTTATGAAAAGCAAATCAAATATTATGGTTGTGGATGACCTCTAACAAAGCGACATTGTATATACGTTGTTGCTAAAGAGAAAGTTTTGTGCAATATGACAACAAAAAAGCTATTTGATGCTCTGGGTTTTTTTTTGGCCACATACTATGTATACAATGTACAATATATTGAAGGCAAAATGTATATCTTCTGTGAAAAGTTTAGGTGGAGTGTTATCAAACGTGTTCAACTAATGATGCATGCACATGGCTATACAGATTATGTTTTATATCAATTCTTTTTTGTGAAGTTGAATTTGAATGAGATGAAAATATGTGCATGTAAGGTGTTTAACAAAAATGTCACGCACTTACTTGCTCATGTATATTACTAGAAGAAGAAGCATAGCTTTCAAGAGAAATTCTTGCAAGGATCCATGAATTACTTGTGCTAATGATGACAAAGTTTACTTGTTTCAATTTTGTTCCATTGCATTTGTTCATTACTTATGTAGGGTAATATTTCGTAAAGTTAAAGACTTAGATGAACGATTGTGCAGGGGCGTATCTAGAGGTCAAGCTGGACGGGCTCAAATCAACCAAAAATTTCCCAAACAATTTGTTCGATGAAAAGATCAAATTAATGAGTTTTTCATTACTCATGATTCAAAAATCACATGATCAATTAACATGAAAACAAGAAAAACATGTGACTTGGATGAGATTTGAAATCGCACCTTCGAGATACTAGTCCGCCGCTCTACCTGTGAGCTACCAAGCCCACAGGGGTTGGAGACGAGTAAAATCTCTTTTAAGCTGCGTATGGACGAGAGATTCTCGCCACTATAGCAGTTTACTGGATGGCACCGTGTTTCGACTTTATTCCAAATCCATCATCAGAGTATATAATATATTAAAATTGCAACGTTGAATCAATGTCGTGATTTTGACCTTGTTTCGTCGTTCTTTCGACATAACCGACGTCGTTTCCACGTTGATAATTTAACGTTGATTTGATTTGCGTTTTTGGCAGTTTTTAGGCGAGATTTCGACGTCCTCTCGACGTCGGATGCTCACTGGGTGAAGGTGTAACAATTTGAAAATGAGTGCCATCAATTGCTCCAGCGCATTGAGGGAAGCCCATGTTGTTAGAAAGCTATCACCTTCGGTTATTTGAAGACGTAGTAGAGATTAACGTGATTTTAACGGGAAATTTAGTAATCGAAATGTCCCCTAACCGAAGAGCCAAATCAAATTATTGTGGGCTATATGGTAGGTCAAAACAAATTATCAAACCTCATTTTTAAATTCAAAAGACATTTTTAACAACGCTGTTGGATAAAAAATTTCAAAATAATATTTAAGACTGAAATACTCCCAATAGGATTTGCTTCAAAGTATTTCAAATTCGAAATATATGTTTTATGATGCATTATGACCGACGCTGGATCCGGAACTGATTAAATGCTGAAGTGAAGAAACTTATACCGTCATATTTGGTTAAGTGTATGTTATTGTAAACGATTGTCACGCGTGCGAAATATAAACAAGAATGTGATGTCTTCGATATTCGATATTTTGTTAGCAAATAAAATTAACACGTTTACAACTATCGTATACAAACACAGTCAGTACTCAAACATAACGTAATATGTAGTTATTATATTGCAAGAAGTAAATAAAAAGATAGGAAAATGAAGAATGACCAGACGAGCCGAATTCAAGTCTGCCCACACAATATAAATTAAGCAGCAATATCAAACTAATCGTTATAGAATTACTGCAGTAATACTTTCCACAAAATTTCGGCTACTTACTTTCGTTAGATGAAGACTATATAGGCAAGATACATTCATACACCGAACCAAAAAGCGACACTAATTTTAGCGTGACTAGAATTTGCAGTTTTCTTCATACACTTCTTGTGTGCGACAAAGCGTTTCCAATTGACAAGTCAGCAAAGGGTAGAGCACGGATTAGGAATGTGTAATTATGCAAAAACAAATTGAAAACAAATTCGTACGACAACGTGCTAATTCCCATTTTTTTACAAATTTCATGCAAACGACTAGTTAAGATGCGTTATTTTTAGAAAAGCTTACGAAGAATAGTTTGCAAGTCAATTACCAAGGAGTTTTAAAATAGTAGCGAGAGACTTGCCGAGCGGAAATCGGATTCGTGTAATAAAAATTAATGCCCAACATAAAGTTCTGATTAGAGCCATAGAATTAGCAGTGGCGTGCGGTCATGCAAGCGTAGGCAAGCGCCGCTTGCCTAAGCATTTTACCGAACAAAAATTTTTTGGATCAATCTCTGAGCAAAATCAGTTTAAATTTTTCTGTTCTAAACAATGTCAATGTAATGTTTTGGCTAAATTGTCTTTACAGTTGAAATGCTTGCTATTTATACGCGATTTACTGTCGTGGTTTTCGGTTTCACTTTGCTACACTTGTAAGATGAGTCAAGAGTATTAAATAAGCCTTTTCAAAAATGAGGCGGGGACTAAGGCGAATTTTGCCTGCAAGCGTTTCTGGGATCGTTACCGGGGACACAAAATTACCTCGCGAATAGAAGTGCAGTGTTTATACATATGTTGATGAAAGTGTTTATGTGATTTAGCAAGAATGCCAAAGTATAACTGCTGTGTGCCAGGTTGTAGCAACAGCCACAGAAATAAGCCTCGCGATTTCAAATTTTATTGCTCGCCAAAGGATTTAGAACTACGTAAAAAATACGATGTTCTTATAAGAAACGACAACCTCAAAGTGGCGTCTCCGAACACAAGGATTTGTTGTGATCACTGGGAAGGCGGGAAAAAATTGTTCAGAACTCATCTTCCGTCTGTTTTTCCGTGGACTGTACGTAAAGAACAACGCAGAGAGATAACCAGAGCGAGTCAGGAAAAAATTAGTAAACACAAACGCAAGAGAAAGAACTTCATGCAAAATTATGAAGTTGATATTGAAAGCGAACAACTACAAAACGACCAAGCATCTCATCTTCAATCTTCTGCTACTCAGACAGACTTGGCATGTTTCTGCAAAGCTAAGGACGATGTCCTGCTACTTCAAGACGTTAAAAAGCAAATTATAGAAAAACAAATATTTCTCGAAAGTGAACTGCTGCGTTTAACAAAATTACTTGAAATCACCAAAAACAACCTGGCAAGACAACAACAACGACAAAGTAGATTTGATATTGACAAATACAAATAAAGTGATTCTGATAAAGAGTTCTACACTGGTTTATCTAACTACAAAATGCTGACATTTTGTTTCAATTTAGTTGAGGAGTCAAGAATTGATATTAATGGTGATAATACAGATGACACACACAGGGGCGGATCTAGGGGTAGGCACCATAGGCAAGTGCCTATGGTGAAATTACCAAAATATACTTCGACTTAGATTCGATACGAATTTATCGAATTATGAAACTATGAATAGCACTTTATCGCAGTCAAATCATCTGACTTTTGTTTAGAAATGTTGTGCAATTAAATGACGTAATTTTGATATGAATCGTAGTCCAGATGCGTATGATTATCTATAAAGATCCGTGTCGTTAGGCAAAGCAGCCATTTTGCCTAAGTCAAGAAGGCGATCTAGCCATTTGATTGGTTGTTAGCAATTTGCCTAAACAATATGAATTTGCCTAACTTGACATCGTGTATAGGTATTCTGATTGGGCAATTTTTTGCAACCGTATGCTTTCATTGGTCAATTTTTTTGCCTAACTTGAGCAATTCCAACAAATCATTGCTGTTGATAAGCATAGTTGAGCTAGGCAAATTAGGCAATTGAAAATTAACATACACTCGTATTGTTTCTGAACAGCCTCTGTGCTCAATTTACGGTTTTGTGATATTTTATAATGTCTTCATTGTGTTGTGGTAATTTATACGAGACTGCTCAGTCTGCGTTGGCCAAAAACGATTTAAAATGCCTTAATGAGCTTTATTCTCGTTTATTGGTCGACGTTCGACCTATGTTTACTAACGAGCAGCTGTTAGATAGAATTTATGACCCCGACCATACTCTGTGTCGAAATTTTGGAGCTGAAATATATGTGCCAAAGCACGCTCATGACGGAAAGACTTGTACTGCAATAAGGTAAATATATTATAATTATATATATCGTATTGCAGTATTTATATATACGTGTAAAATGGTTAAATCTCAATTTCGCTGGGCTATATCTTTGTCTACAGTCAGCAATTCATTCATACATTGCAATCAATCTACCAAACAAAATATTAATTTCGTTTCTTGAATATTTTTTAAGATCTGAAGCTTCTGGCAATTGCCTCTACAGTTCAGCTTCCCTAGTTCTGGTAGGTAACAATGCATTGGTCCCTACTTTGCGAATTTTAACATCGCTTGAGCTATTTATTCATGCTGCTTTTTATGCTCAACACCCATGCTTTTTGTCTGTTATAAGTGAGCACAGTGATTACTTTGATCAAAGCTTAAACAATCTTTTGCCTTTGTCAGTGTCTAAAGAATGTTTAGACACTGGATATACAACAGATGAACTGGTAAAACAGGAGGCTATTTTAAATTGTAATGACCAGAAATGGTCATCTTTTCTTTGTATTTTGGGCCTATCTTCTGTTTTAGGTAGAAAAATTCATACTTTTTATCCTGATTCTGGTGAAAGTAGATATAAATTGTTATTTAATCGTATTGTTCAGCCCCGGGTATTAAGCCAAAGAGGTTTGGATGCTATTAATATTTTGTTTTGTCATGAAGGATCTGTACAACCAGGTGAGACTTTTCAGTCTAATCATTTTGTGCCTCTCATTTTCCATGCCCACAGGTTGGAGCGAACATTGTCTAATTCCTGTACACAGTCTAATTCTAGCAGCTCAACAACAGAGAAACGAAAATTTGTCAAAATTTTTCCAAATATTGCACCAAAAACAGTTGACATTTCAAATTTTTTTACTTCAACTAATAGGCCTGCTGCCCAACCAACTTTTAAAAGGATGCCCAATGAGAGTTTTTCTTCTGCTGCAGCTCTTGCTCAGACATTAAATAAAGCCAATAGTCTTTTGCTTCACACATCATCCCAGGAACTATTGCCTGGTATTCCAACTTCTGGTGATATGCAACCTGCTGTTTTAACCCATAATTTTGATGTTTCCTTGTATAGGGAGAAAGTTAAGGGTATGGATAATTCTGAAATATGTCATTTGATAAAAAATGTATATAAACCAGATAAAAAGTATCATTTTCCTAAATGTAATGGCAGATCATTTAGGCATGATTGGCTAGACCAGCATGAATGGCTTTGCTATTCACCTTCACAAAATGGTGCGTATTGTCTATCGTGTGTGTTGTTTGGCAATAGATTCCCAGGCAAGGCCAGTAAAGTAAAAAAGTTGTTTACTGAACCTCTTCAAGATTGGAAGAATGCTAAATGCTCTTTCACTCAACATGCTGGAAAAAGTAAAGGGAGGGAAGTCGGTTTGCATGCATCCACATCACCAATTTTGATGCTTTGCGTTCCCAAATATCAGGTACTCTGCAGCCTATCGAGATGATCATGGATGCTGGTATCAAGAAAGAAATAGAACAGAATAGGGAAATACTATCTCCAATTATTGATTCTGTCATTTTTTGTGGACGTCTAGATTTACCTCTTCGTGGGCATCGTGATGATTCCAAGTATCACCCTACTGTTGGTTGTTATTCATCTGGAGGGGTTGGTAATTTCATTGAAACACTCAATTATGGAGTTAGGAGAGGGGATAAAGTTTTAGAAAATCATTTAAAGAATTATGGTAAGAATAGAAGTTATATTTCTAAAACAAGTCAAAATAAAATCATTAAATGTTGTGGCCAGGTAATCAGTAATCAGATTATTTCTGATATCAAAAAAAGTAAGTTTTTTTCTGTTATTGCTGATGAAGCATCTGATTCTTCACATAAAGAACAAATGTCTCTTGTTTTGCGCTTTGTTGATACCGATATGAATATCAGGGAAGAATTCATTTCATTTCTTTTTTGTAAGTGGGGACTAAGTGGTGCTCAACTTGCCAAGCTACTTTTAGAGGCTCTAAAGGAACTGACTTTATCAATAGATGATTGTAGGGGGCAAGGTTATGATGGGGCTGGTTCAGTTCCTGGTTGCACTAATGGTCTAGCAGCTCAAATTTTAAAGCTTAACCCAAAGGCTCTTTATACACACTGCTATAGTCATAGGTTAAACTTATCCATTTGCGATTCTTTGAGTATACGAGTTGTCAATGATATGTTGAAACATGTTAACAATGCCACTAATTTTATTAAAATTTCCCAAACTCGCAATATTCCCTTTGAAAAACATACACGTAATTCAGAAACAAACTCGAAAAAGACTAGATTAACAGACGTTTGCAAAACTAGATGGGTAGAACGTATCGAAGGTTTAGATACATTCCAAGAGCTTTTTGTACCTGTATACACCACCCTTAACGATATGTCTGAAAATGTAGATGGTGAGTTCAAACCGTCGCTTCAGTCTGATGCCTCATCTTTGTTTCAACTTATTGACAGGTTTGATTTCGTCGTTGCTTTAGTTATCACGAGAAATATTCTTGATTCAACTCTTCCAGTAACACAGTTATTACAGGGTAAGAGTATCGATATAATGGATGGTATTCATTTAATTTCAACTTTGAAAACTGAGGTGGTGAACATGAGGAATTCCTCTGATTTTTATCATGACACCTGGTATGACGAAGCGCTTGAACTGGCAGCAAAAGTTGGCATTGAAGAATGGAAACCAAGAACAGTGCGCAAACAAACGACCAGGGAAAATATTCCCCACACAACCATTTCTGAGTATCATAAACGTGCAATTACTCTTCCTCTACTAGATCATTTGCAATCTTCTTTAGAATCACGATTTGACCTTGAGAGTGTGAATGTCTATAAAGGCCTTAGCATTGTACCGACGAAAATGATGTCCATGACAAGAGATGGGGTGGATTGGAAAGAGCCATTCAAAACTGTGGCTAACTTGTGGCGAACAGAATGCCAGAAAGAGATACAATCAAATATTACAGCCCCCCTGCATTCAAACAGCTCTTCCCCCAGGTAGTTATTGTAATTGATTGCACAGAGATTGAGATGGAAAGGCCATCAGCTTTGAACAATCAGTCTGCCTGTTATTCTTCTTACAAAAGCAGACCAACAATGAAGGTTTTAATTGGAATCACACCTAGTGGTGTGTTGTCGTACATCAGTGAGTTATTCCCTGGAAGCACTTCTGATTTGGAAATAGTTAAAAAAAGCAATTTCTTGGACATTCTCTCCCCTGGAGATAGTGTCATGGCAGACAGAGGCTTTAACATAAAAGATGAACTTGCGTCAGTTGGAGCATTTCTTGAAGCTCCTTCTTTTCTCCAAAAGAAAACCCAATTTACACAAGAAGAAATTAACAAGAACAAAGCTATAGCTAGCCTGCGCATACATGTTGAACGACAAATGGAAAGACTAAAAAACTGGCACATATTAGATAGAAAGATCCCTATCACTATGGCCCCATTAGCATCAGATGCACTTGTGGTCATAGCAGCATTGGCTAATTTTTTGCCACCACTTGTTTGTTAGATTTTGCCTTCATTCTCATGTTCAAAATTGATAAATAAATCAAACAAGCCATTTCAATAATGATAATTTAGAAATTCAGTATCATGATTAAAAACAGATTTACAGCAAAAAAGCCCTTTTTTTAATTATATTTTGACAGAGATTAAATTTTCAACTGTTATTTATCTTTAGTAATTTATGTTTTAAAAATCTTTACAAGTTACACCATTTAATTATCTCCTGTGAAATTGTTTCTTGGCAGCCCATACTTGATCTTTGGATATGCTAGTTCAGGAATAATAAATTCTTCATAGAAAATCTTAAGTTTTGCCTTAGTATTGCACCAGAAATTAGAGTCAAAAGGTACTCTTTCAATATATATACCAGGTGAACAAGATCCAGCAATCACAAAGTCTGCCCACTTCCTCCCTGATAAATACATTCCCTGCTGTATTTGGTAAAAATATTTGTGGTTTCTGTTAATTGTAATACCACTGTTGCCAAGTTTGTGCTTGACACACATGTGCTTACGTAAGACAGCTTCTGTTAAACTTTCCTTTTCAGATGTTTCGATGAACTTCATTTTTAGGATACCTAAAGGTTCATTATTGTTCGAGGGATCACAAACCAAGCCATCAGGACTAGCCCCTAAGAAACCATCATCATGCTTGCCAACAATCAGACCTGACTGTGACACAGACAAATTGTCATGTCCACGTTTGCGTTGCTCCTTTATGTATTGCTTCATTATTTCTGGTTCCATTTCTAGTCCTTTTATCATTTGCTTCGTTGCTGAAAATTTGGCATACAAAATTTCATTAATGGCCTTTGTTGGTGAGGTTGTTTGTTTAAGTACAGCAGCTCTATAGCATTTAGATGCTGTAATGCGGTACTGTCGATGTAGGTGCCATTTCTTATTAAAGGATTGCTCTCTAGTTTCTTTCTAAATTTCTGTGGCCTTTCTGTAGTCTATGAAAAGGCATTTCTTAATCTTTTCCATCCTTTCTTTAATGGCACTCATTGCCATAGGGCTGTCTTGAACTTTTATGGGAGATATGAGTTCATTCTCATACTTCTCAACTGGGATATCCTGGGGTAAAATGTGACACCATCCAATGGACTTCCCAACCTCATTTTCTAGTTCTTTAAATTTGTTAAAAATGCTTTGTAACTTTTTACTATTTAAACCTTCCTGGTTAATGGAGCTGACATCCTGGTATTTGCATTTATCTTCTGCTTTTTTGTTCTCTTTGTTGTAGTCATATTTCTGGAACTTCATTGCAGAAATTGGCTGCACTTCTTCTTTTCTCTTTCTTGGTACACTCCATTCACATGGCTTTGACGTGCATGAAATTTCTGAAGATGACTTCTTATTTTTCTTGCAAACAGAGTCAAGGAAAAAAAGAGTTGCACAGACGTGATTACATCTCCCATCCACACCTGCTGGGCACCACATTTGGCTGACAATACAAAGCCAAATGATGAAAGCTTAATGTAACAAAGTATATACCATCTTTTTCTTCATTGAAGGCAAGACCTGACTTTTGATGTAATGTTTTGAATCCTTGTGGAGATAATACAAACACAGCACATGGCTTGACTTAAAGAAATTATAGCCTTTCACTAGAGGCTTAGCAGTTGAAAGTCGTCTTTTGAATTCCATGCTGTCTATCATAAACTTCCATACAGTGCCAAAAGTAACATTTGGTAGATTTGATAGGTCGGCACTTTATCCTGTGGTAGGAAAACTTTTAACTTCTGATGGCAATGTCTGATGTAGGAGACCAGCTTGTGCTTTCTTTTTCAAAACATGAACGCCTCCATTGGGGTCACGTAGATACTTTTCCGCCAGTTTATGTTCGATATAATTTTTGACTCTGCAATAAAAAATATATAGTTATTCTTTAAACGATTTTTAATTCCTTCATAAAAAGGACGAAATAAATCAAATGAATGTTAGATTATATAAAAATAAAAACTTAAAATTAAAAGTAAATTACTGACCTCAGTCGTAAATCAGAAAGTTTACCAGAGGTTTTTGCTCCTCTGCAAAGAAGCCATCGTCGTAAAATTGCACAATTGCATTCCTCAATCGGCTTAGGTAGCTTAGCTCCGGGAATATCACTTTCATTTAGCGAAAAACTTTTATCTTTACACTCAAACGCGCTTTCCATCTTCACTTTTTTTTCCAACTATAATAATATAACAAGCTGTCCCCACTAACAATCCCAGACGTGCTTGCGGGCTAAAACTTGCCCTAGTCCCCAACTCTTATTTGAAAAGGCCTATTAAGTGGATTAAATTAATTATTTATTAACCAAGGCAAGTGCGCTTGCCTTCGGAGCTCAATTTGAACATTTGAGCATGCGTTAATCTAGATTTGGAGGCTTCTTATTCGAGGAATATCGAGAAAAGGCAAGCGGCGCTTCTAAGGGCGCCGCTTGATAGCGATTGGTCAACAGTCTTGCACGCTCGCAATTTTAAACACATATCAGCGCACGAATAATATTCGTATATTCAACACATTGGACATCCGAATTATTCACGCCGTTTATGTTATCGTTTATTAAAAGATGACTGAGAGCGAAAGGTAATGTTCTGATTTCTAAGGTGCTTTACTGGTTATTTTATTACTTTCTGCGCACAATGTGCGTAAACAAGCAGGGGCCGTAGTCTGCAGAGATATCGAAATGCACGCAAACGTGTGTTGTGGTAAAGTATGACTAGCATTATGACCAAAACACTATGCTCTTGTCAGTCTTGTGTCGTTGAATTCGTAAATTAATGACTAAAAATAAAAGGTACAAGATACTAAATAATAAACACGACTCTCCGATATTCTGAAACGTACGAGTCAGTGCCAGACACATTTTGAAGAACGGGAGAACACGTTGCCATGACGTCATTATACCAAAATATAAACATTAAACAACGCCATGGCCTCAGTTTGTAACACACCGTGCCAATTTTGTGCGCAAAACTGGCTGTTCTTAATTGTTATAATCACGACTGCTACAATACATTTCGCGCCTATTGTCTTGCAATTTTTTGTATGTAGAAGATATTATCTGTAGCATGTAATACAAGATTATGATATTGACAAGAGCTTCCTTTTGCGTAGTAGTTTTGATATTTGTATCCGGTAGATTTTAGCGTTATATATAAGTCTTTCGTATGAGCTCCGAACGTGAGTTCAATGTACTAGAACGCTATTAAATATTGTGATTATTTTATTCACTAGCGAAGAAGTTATTTACAACAGTCGTGAGTGTTCTATGTGTTAGAATTTATTTACAGGCTTTTTATATATTTGGTTAAAGAAGGTGCAGTTATTACACAGCGGATAATGTACTTGAAATTTGAGTAGTTTTACGTAATTATAAAGTTAAGTGCGTAAGTTTAAGTAGCGCGTTTGAGTAAGTGTAGGATTGGCTATTTCCTCTATTGCTTATACATGAATCTAGATGAGTAATGTACGCACGTTATGTACGTCACTACAAGATATCATGTAACTGATGTAAGGTATAAATAAGATTGATGTTCCTATAAAATATATAGCATAGGAATTTTCATCCTTTTATGTTCTACTTCTACATTCGGTATTTTCACGACACCTGTACAACATGACTGAATGCATTGTGGAATCACTGTTATCCCGCTCATTTGGATTGAGACCTTTTTGAAGATAAGATTACAGAAAAACGAACAAAATTCGTAGATTATTGGAATTTAACGTCAAGTATCGTCAAAGTAGCACTGAAACGCGGCAAAGTGAAGAGGATGTAAAGGCGTCCTTTACATAAGTTTTCAGGGGAAGCCACGATTCTATGAGGACGTTATAAAGGAGTTTTGCGCAAAGGAAAGACGGATGGAATTTACATTTAAGTAAATCTGTTGTAGGATTTTGGACTATTTCGTTCTGTTACTTCTTCACTACAATAGAAATACACGCGTAGCCATTTACTTAAAACGACTTTATATCACAATACCACATGTACTACTTTTAAACCGTAATTGTGATATATACTCTATAAAAGTTTTTGAATTTTTTAGATTTTTTCAATACTGTTTCAGTCATGACAGATACATTTTTTTCGACAAAGTACTCCCAGAAATCGCGGGAAATGCGCTCTAGTAGCCTTCAAAATCCAAAAATTTTCTGGGGGAGCATGCCCCCAGACCCCCTAGATAGGTTCGCAGCTCACCCCCAGCGCTTGCCTACTAAATTCGGTCACCGCACGCCACTGAGAATTAGACCAAAAAAAGACAAATTGTAAAATTAAATTTATTGTAACGTTTCGTCTTTACTCAAGACATCTTCAGACAAATAATAAATAGGATGTTAAGACAAGATATTATATTTACAAAAAGGTGTTAAATTACTACTAAAGGAGGCGGTGTCAAATGGATATATGATAGGGAAGTTAGGAAGTAAAATAAAGAGAAATTAAAAAAGGTTAAGTGGAATGGTGTTTCCTTGCACATGAAGTGAAGGCTTGTATTGATTGA